TACATAGAGCATTTGGCGAAACCATTTTTCCAAGTCGTGAGTAAGGCAAAAGAGGTGGCTAAAAAGGCAAAGGCATTAAGATATGAAGTTAACCCAATAAGGAAGCATGGACAACACTTGTTGAATTTTTTTGGTGAGGCAAATTAATACGAGCAAATCAAATATTTTATGGATATAATTTAAGGATGAAAAGTTCCATGTGAAAACAAGTTCTTGGAATAAATAAAGCATCTTTCATTGGAAATTGTTGCGGGGCAAATATTCCTACATTCATTTTATTCATATATTTCATTCACCTATATTTATGAGTCATTTTGTGCCTAACTTATGAAAAGGTTTCAATGGTTTCACTTAGCAACATCAAATCTTGGAATGAAAAAAAAGTTTTAAAATATCACAAAAATATGAGGGTGATTTGTCCAAAACCTTTTTTTTATTGAATAAGTCCTCTAATTATGATAATCAAGGTTCAAGGATAACTCAAACATTCCTACTTGCCATTCACATGACACTCATGCCACACCAAAGGTCATGAAAAAGCAAAGTCGAGCTCCTTGCCTAAGCACACAAGGCAATAATTTTAAAAAGACTTTTATGATAAAGTTAAAGCTGTTTGTCACTTTAAGAATTAAGTAATGCAAGAAGATTCTTAAGTTTGGTTTTCAAATCATTCTATACTAAAAAAACGGAAGAGGTATAGTAATTTTATGGTGATTTTAAATGTTTTGAATGGCGATAGAGAGTGTTTTTAACAAAAAGGGCCCTAAAATTTGGGATTATATGTATGTCATTTAAGGGAGATTTTAAAAATCTAAGTTGAAAAACTAAAAGAGGAAGTCAAGATTTATTGAAAAAAGGAATTTTTTTAGGCTTTGTCATTAGAGCACGACAAAAGACTATGGCACCATTGAATTTTTTGATGCCACTATCTAGGATTCTTTTTAATTTCTAGTAATTTATGGTTTCTTAAGTGGTTTGTTAATTTTTTGGCACTAAAATTTGGAACATTGGCCGATTTCTAGAATTTTTTGGATTTTTTTATGAAGCTTTCGAGAGAAAGAAAAGATGATAAAAAGTTAAGAGAGAAGAAAAGGAAGAAAACTAAAAGAATTTGAAAAAATTTTACTTTTATGGGCTGTGAAAAATGGCATAGTTTTGCAAGTATATCTATTGTTGATCCATTTGTCTGACTCGTACTCTAAACTGCAAACACTCTGGTCATATGTAGCCTTTTTTCTTAATTCATTTTAGTTTTGTTTTATTTATTTATTTTGATTTATTTTATTTATTTTTATGCATAATTTTTTTGTTTTGTTTTATTTATTCTATTTTTTTATTTGTTATTTTGCTTTGCCTTATTTAATTTTTTTACTTCTTTTCGTGTATATTTAAATTTCCAATATTTCAATAATTTGAAAATGAAGAAATTAAAAGATTGAAAATTTTAGAAACAAAGTTGTAAGTTATAAGAAAAAATTGAAAGATCAACTTTTTGTAAATTTTCACAACAAAAAAAGATTTTGTTTAAATTATTGAAAAAAATTTGAAATATTAATGTTTCTTAAATTTTTACAATAAAAGAATTTTTCAAATAATTATGAAAATTTTTGAAAGATTAATTTTTCCTAAATTTTGACAATAAAAGGATTTTTTTTTAAAGATAATTAGGAAATTAATTTTACATCAAAAAGATTTTTCTAATTTTTTTTTAAAAGTTAAAAAATTATTTTTTCCTAAATAAAGGAATTTTTAAGAACAATTAGGAAAAAGTTGAAAGATCAATTTTTTTTCTAAACTTTTAAAAATTAAAATAATTTTTTAATCAATTTATAAATAAAATTATGACTTGAAATTTTTGAAATGAATGTAACAATGGAACATTTTCAATTGAGACAAGAGTCTTCTTAAATACTCATAAGTTGAAAAAATAAGTTTTCAATATATAAATTCTATAATAGATTTTTATTATACAAATTCATTTAAAATTTTTTATTAAAGCTATAATGGATAACATAAAATTAATTGGTACTATTTTTTGGACGAACATCGTAGGGTGTTGATATTTTCCTTGCATGTAACCATACTTATGGGCTTAGTTTTATATTGTGGATCAATTTTTTTTTTCAAATGTGAGTCAAGCTTATAATTTCTTTAAAAATAATAAATTCATATAGATGACTAATTGTACCTAATAAAAAATAACTTAGTGACAATTTTTTCCTAATAAATGGACCCTACATCTCAAGCGATCAATTTCATATCTTTGGATCATTAAAAAAATCACATTAGCATTTACTTGTTTAAAAGTATCAATTACATATGCATTTAATGGTTTCTTAAGATCACATGATACATGTGACATTTTTTCATTATGTATGAGTTTATCTTGATATAACTTATATGATAAGATTTATCTAAATATAATAAAATTATAAAAATTTATTTATGCAAGATGAAACCGTTCATGAGCATAATAATTTTTTTTATTATTCTTAAAATATTTTTCTTTGTTTGTTATTTATTTGGTCATTTCGTTAACAATCAAAATCGTTATTTCCTTTTTAACCAACTCTTTTAAGCCATTCCTTCAACGATCTACGCTTCTTTCAACAAGAGAAAGATTGTATAGAACAGTTCCTCTACATCGATGTATGTCATTTCTATTTAAATTATATCACGTAATCATATTATTTAAAAAAAAATCAATTATTTGTTACATATAACATGTATTGATTCTATTGAAATAAAAAAAAATATTATTTAATTATCATATGTGATTTGTAATAAATGATTAATATTTTTCAATAATATAATTATGTGATGTAATTTAAGTAGAAGTGACATATACTAACATGGAGTAAGAATTTCGTACAAATTTTCTCACAACCTTTTTATTAGAGATACGTGCATTATGCATTAATTATTAAATAAAAATGCTTTTGTTATGAAATATCTTAATCATAATAAACCTTCAAAAACTTCATTAAAATCTAATTCTAATTTTAATTTGATCCACGAAAATATCAAATTATTAAGTTGCAAATTTTCACATGATCAGTGGCACCACGTTGAAGCCTGAAGGGGGCCATTTTTCAAAACTTCTAATACATAAGTTTACAATTTGCAAGTGCTCCTTTAAAAAATAAAAATGACTCCCCAAGAAAATAATTTTTTTTTAGTGATTATAAATGTTTTAAATTTTAATAAATTTGTAAACAGTATTAATATTTAATAGTTTAATTATCATTAAATAAAAATAAAAAATAATTATTTTCTTAAATACGACCCATATTAGAAAGTTGAAATTTTTCAAAAAAGTTTAATAAAAAAATAAAAAAAAAGATGAAATTAATAGAACAGAAAAAACACAAAATCTATTTTCTAAAAGTCTGAACCTAACATAGATCACCGCTATAATTATTGTGAAAGATTAACTTGTGAGAAATTATTATTGTTGTGTACCATAAATAAATATTATTATACAAAATAGTACTTAAAATGTAAAATAAATAATTAATTAATATAGTTCAAGTTTTGTTTATTATTAATTTTTTAGATTAACTTGTGAGGAATGATTAAGTTAAGGTGTATGTTGTTGTTGATAAATTGATTGATTTTTTGTTGACTCTTTATTTTTACTGCACCAATTAAAAAATATTTTTCAATGATAAAAATCGTTAAAATAAAGTTTGGCAACAAAATAGAAGAAGAATTTCTTGCAATAATCTTATTCTCTATATTAAAAAAAATTGCTAAAACTTTTTGGTCAAATTATTTTCTTTTTATGAAATATCATTGTGCATAATTTTAAATAAAATTATTTAAGTTTCTTTCATTTTCAATTGTTATATTTTTTTTTTCAATACTAGAATTTTTATGTGTTTTGTTTATGGTACATTATGGAATGTCATATTTCACCTAAATTTTTTTATAATTTTTGATAAACTTATCATATATTTGTCATATACATACATTTAATAATTAATTTTTTATCAGTTTTTATAAATATATTTAACAAGATACTTATCACCTCTTTAATTTTGCTTGTAAAATCTAAACATTTTAGGTTTTAATTTTTTTTTTTTAAAATTGTTCATTGATGAATAAAAATAATAATTTTAACTCCAAAAACTCGTGACATTGACTAAAAATTGTATGAAAAGAAGTACTATATCACGCTATAATAAAAAAAAGTTCAAAGTCAAATGTAATGCAAAAATATTATTGAGCTGTCGTACAATTATTTACGTACAATTAAACCTTTATTTGGACATTGACGGAAAACTATGCAATTTAGGTAACATGAAATTTTTTTTCCTAACTTTGTTCATTTTTTTTTTTTTTAATTTTGAATAAAGCTTAAATTGAATGTAGATGATTGTTCCACAACCCAAATTGTTACAAAGACACAGAATCGATAAATTTAAACTTACGCGTACAGTTTAAGCAAGCACAAGAATTGCAACTTGCAAAACCGCTTTTTTATTTTTTATTTTTTTTTTTTTTGAGTGGCAAAACTCTCATTGCACACCTACGAAGTAGCACCGAACTTTCATGGGTAAAAAGAAAGAAGTTATTAGCAGTAAAAGCAAGAATTTATCGAGAAACAAGGAGTCATAATTGCAGGATAATAGCAGTAGCATATAATATGTGTTGCTTAAAGTTGAGGGCATGTTTTAGATGATTTAATTCCCTAACCAAGGCTGTGAACTTTAGATACACGTATTCTGAAGGCAAAGAGGGGGGGGAGGGGGGGATGGGATAATACATTATAGTGTTGGCGAAACAAAGTCTTGTTCTGATGCACTACAAACACAATAGCGGTGGGAGGTTGTTGACACCAGCAGACATTGGAAAATTTTCGTTGGAATTTTTGGTTCAGTATTCAAGTGAACCAACGGATGAGGGTCCAGAGACATGATCTCGACCACCAGTGCCAGTGCCACTGCTATTCATCCTTGGACCTGGGGTTGGGCCAAAGGGCTCCTCCACTCGTTGCTCCCTCATCCTCTGCACATCCTCTGGTGAAAGTATCTTTATGTACCAAACATTATTCACAAACGCCCTGCATGGTAGTTATTCGTTATCCAAACAAAAATTAAACACATTTTAACGATCTTAAATGCCCAAATGATATCAAATATCATCAAAATGCAAAACGTCTAAAAACAATCAATGAAAATACTAAACTATGGTAGCTTGCTTAAGGAGAATTCTCACTTTTGAGTTTTAACTATCATATGATTCAGTCTTGTGATCCAGTCACCTCTCTTCAGTTAAGTCCCTCAGGATTTTTTCCTTCTTCCTATGAGATCAATAGTTTCTTGTTATCTTTACTGTTTTCCTTTTGTTTTTCAAAGGGTCTTGGAGAAGAAAGAAGTCAAGTGCTTATATCCAGTGTAAAGGATATGGATGATGAAAAAGTTGCTTAACGGAGTATAAACTACTACAGTCAAAGTTAATCTGAAAAAATAAATAAATAAATAAATAATAAAGTCCAAACCTAAACCAACCTGATTTGAGAAAGAAAAGTCAACAATCCAAACCCGCCCAGGTCAAACCTGGAATGAAACAAACCTAAGCTACTCAACAGACTAACCTTAAGCAATCTGAACTTAAATTGATTTGACTTAAAATCAATACTTTAAACTGAAATGACCCTAACTCAATAACCCTAATGAAAATAACCCATGTTAAACTCAGATCCAAATAACACGAAATACATACATTTTCCATCGACCCGAACTCACCTGACTTGCCCAATTGTCACCTCTAGTTTAAACCAAGTATCAGCTTTGAGACTCAACTTTTGGCTTAGTTATTGATGAACTTACTAGGCACATTGAAGATGTGCTTTTGTGTATGGACTTGGCAATTCGTAAATATAATATAGTGTTGATAGATGAGAAAACTTGAATCCTGAAGTGATTCGGGGCCTAAGAGCTTCTACTTGATCAAATCTAAAACAAAGCATTTGAAATGCAACTTCACTATAAGCAATAATGAGATTGGAAGATCAATGAGAAAGTGTGAAAACATAAAAAGCATAACAAAAACTTAGAAATCTAAACTCTTGGTTCAATTATTCAAAATGATGGGAAAACTGATAAAGATGTCACTCAGAAGATCCAATCAGAACTGAAGGAAATACATTGAGAGTACAAGATAACTGCTAAATTTTACCAAAACTCTTACAGGATGGAAATAAGACCAACATTGTCAATTATCCAAAAAGATGGGAAACTGATGAAGATATCACTCACAAAAAGCAAGCCAAATTGAAGGAAATGCATTGAGAGTCTTGTATGACTGCCAAATTTTACCAAAACTCTTACAAGATGGAAACAAAACAAATATGGTCATCTGGACAACTATGCATCAAACTATGTCAAAAATGAGCATGGCACAAATTAGAATTCTATGCTAGATGAGTGGGCACACAAGGAGGGAAAAAATAAATAGATAAAAATAAATACACAAGGGAAAAGGAGGTCAAACTCATTGAGGACAAAATAGTAAAAATGTTTAAGAGGTTTGGACACAAAATAAGACTCTTAATACTTCTGTGGATGTCCATCTGATCTGATGGGGACCATCCATTTCAAAGCAGAAATAGATCAGTGAGGGCAGAACTGAAACTATAAATATGATCTCACTTTTATTGAGTATACCGAGAATATGTTTGAAAATGCAATTCTGAGTTTTTCACCTTTGACTGTGATCTTAACCAGCATTCCATGCATGCATGTGGAGATTGGTTAATTTATCACCATAGAAAATACTTACTCCCATGGATCGTCTCCAAGAAGAAGAATATCATTCTCCCTGTCAACAAATACAAGCTGCCAGCCTGATCTAAGAGGGTCTTCCAACTCCCCATCAATGCCAAACATCTGAGCCAGCTCCTCTCGCAACTCATGGTAGCTGCTGCACTGGGAGATGTCTAATGAGCGTCCCACCGACCCTGATTTATAAACCTACAAAAAATAAAGAAACAAAAAAAAATCAAATCGTCATCACAATAATCTTGAGCAAACCATGGCCAATATGGAAATAACCTCTAGAAACAGCAGCTCATATACCTTGACAAATGTTCGAGTTGGAGCCAGTGGGTCAACTTGCCCTGTGCTCTGCAGCTCTGAAGAGTCTTGCATGCAACCATACAGAGGATTCTGGAATAAGGGGTCCCCTGATGGAATTGATGGCACATCAGCTTCACTTGAAGATGTAGCAAAGCCAGGCATCATGGTGGGGAGTAGAAGGCCATATGAATTGTTGTTAACACCAAAAAGAGTAGAATTCTGGGCATCAGAGTTACCAATTTCTGGCTCTATTACAGCATCTTTTCCAGGAAACACTGGTGGACGTGATGTTGAGCTAGCAAAGGCATTTACCTGTGAATGAGTATACTTTTGATCCCAAGACTGTTGGGATAACTGCTCAGCTAGCATCGACTGATTAGTTCTGGAGAAGTTCAAAAGATTAACATTGCTTTCAGGATATAATGAACCCAGCATATTCTGGAGAGGGGGCACAGATCCTGAGAACTTTGCTGAGTTGATGAAATCTGTTTTCAGAAATGATGAAGGCACATTAGCCGGCTGCCTCTGCTGGAACTGATCACTTTGAATCATGTTATGCTGTTGCTGAGCATGTTCCTCCGGTTGATTACCTACTTGCTCCTGTCCAAGGACTGGGGGCAAGTTCTCAGTTAAAATTTGGGATTGTGCCTGCACAATGTTACGTGTAACTGACTGTGAAACAGCTTGCTGTTGCTGCTGCTGCTGCAGCTGCAATAGTAAATTGTGGCCACCAGGCTGTTGAACATACTGCAAAGATTGCTGCAACTGCTGTCTCGGGGCATCCCCACTTCCCAGGTTCTGCAACCCATTGGCCAGCATGGCTAGGTACTGCAAAGTATGATCATTTCCAGGGAAACTCAGATCTAGTTTTTGCTGCATCCACGGAATTGAGCCAAACGACTGAAGATTTAGAGAGTGCAGTCCTTGCTCTCCAGATCCACCCCTTAGCCACATTAACCCATTAGCTGCATCATCTCTGTTATCTGCAAGAAGACGATTATCATGGTAAAATATCCAAAGGAAACAGATAAAAAGAACCAATCGTAACAAACATGTTGCCCATGCATCAAGATTAAAGTGTCCACAGTTAAAAGTAAGCAATGAAAACATATATTTGCCAAACTGAGCATAATATTTTTCTTTAATTTTGTAATCACTTTTGCTTCAAATAATCCAGCCTAATGAATTGCAATACTGGCCAAGCATATGAAAAAGCATATGAAAACTCTCTAACTTAAGTAGCACATCACCCTTTTCTCTAAAGAGCAAATAGTTCCCTCTCACAAGTTTAATCAAGAATTGAAAAGGTTTTCCTTCAAAGATTAATGCATTTTGACAACATTAAGTTGAAAAGTCATCACCCTTTCCTCAGAGAGCAAATACCTCCCTGATACAAGTTTAATCAAGAATTGAAATGGCTTTCCTTTAAAGATTGATTCCAATGCTGCATTTGAATGCATGTTGAATACAAAAAGTAGACAAGCCTAGACCATCAACTTAAAGCTTCAGTTGTAACAAAATGGTTGAAAAAAAGTTACCACAATGAATTGGTATTCATTACTTAAAATAAATATAAGGGTTTATATGCACTTTCCATTTGTTTTCATACACGTGTAATTTAATGAAATCAGTTCATGAACTTTCAAAATTTGAAAACCCTTCTTTACGATGTCAGAAAACTGAAAAACAAGGCCTAAATTCTTATTGCATAACTAACTTCTTGAAACAAAATTTAGAAAAAGCATATTTCTTTCCTAAATATCCTCCACAAAAACTTTATTACAATTTAAACATATAGTATATGGTATTATTATGTAATTCTGAAATAATGAAAAAAAAAATGTAAAAGGGACATGAAAAAGATAAGAAGAAAGACATTATGAAAACTGGACAAGTAGGTTAAGATATTTAATCTAATAGATGCAACAAAAAGGAAAAAAGAATGAGATATTTTTGATTTTTTTTTTCCCTCTTATATAATCTCTTGTAATTTTTCTCATTTTCCATCATTTATCCCTTTTCTTTCTTATTTTTCTAAGTATTATTCAAAAGGTTTAATTGCATATTTGGTACCTGAACTATAGTGAAAATGTTGATTTGGTACCTAAAGAAAAAAAGTCATAATTAGGTACTCCAACTTTCAATCCATCAAACAAATTGCAAACTTTGCCAACTCAATCAATCAAAAGGGTGACATGTCCAATAGCACCAATCAAAATATGCCACTGCCACTGTCATTTCATTTTTTTTCTTTTTTAAAAAGTTCTAAAAAATAAATTGAAACGAGGGAGTTAGGGAAAGAGAGGAAGAAAAAGAGAAAGAAAGGAGGGGGAAGAGGAAGGACGGGTGGACCAGCCAATAGTGATCTGGCCAGAACAACTAAGATCAATGCTGATTTGTCTCAAGCCAACCGCGTTCCTTCACCTACCCCCACCCTTCTCTCTTCCTTTCCCCACTTTCCGTCTCTTCCCTTTCTCGCCCCATTTGTCTCTCTTCTTGATTTTCTCTATTTTTAGTTTCAAAAATAGTCTTTTTAGACAATGAAAAATAGAAAATTACATAAACATTTTCTAGATGTGTTACAATTGGCATGGCATTAATAAGACAATTGGTGCATCCTCATTGCGCAATTGAGCCATGTCACGTTTCAGTCAACGGAGTTAGCAAAATGTGCAATCTGTGGAATGAAAGTGAACTACCTAATTGTGAATTTTCTTTTACAAAATGTGTAATCTGTGGAATTAAATGTCATTATAAAGGAAAATAAGAGAATTCTGCAGCATAACTCGGACCCTGTTCTAGTGCCCAACAAATCTAACTCAGTCTTAACCTTGGCCGAGGTAACTCAGGTCAAATTGGTTCCCGTAAGATTAGGTTTAGTTCTTTTAGTTCTTTTCCTAGTAGCCATTTGGACAAACAGCGCAGGTCCAGTATTTAGGGGGGGCAGTGAGAAACACCTAGTCTATTAGATCTAAAATTAAGTTGCCTTATCCTAGATTATAAGAATTTGGCCTTTGTTGTGGGCTGCATTACTCAAGTTAGACCTCTCAACCTATAGCCAACATGTTTTGGACCTTTTAGGTTAGATGCTTATCGGGTATTTCCTATATTTTGTCTTGAAATTTTTTTCCCTCTTCCAACAAGACGTGTGAAATGCCCATTTGTTTCAATTGTTAGTATTGAAGCCACATGTTAAGGGCAGAGTAAAGTGCTGTTATTTCAAATTGGTTATATCTAAGATTTGTTGTGGCCTTACAAGCAAATTCTGCCTATGTGCCTATTGGCTATAGGAAGCTCAACAGTAAGGTAAGGTCGGATCTGGTTCCAAGACAACCAACTTACCCCAACTAATAGCAGCATTAGATTTAAAGCTTCGAGTGGGTTACTACAATATATCTCATGCAATATGCCAAGGTACCCATCTCTAGCATGGCAGAACAAAATCCCAAAGTTTCCTTTGCGACATATCTTTAAACTTAAAATTCTCAATACACATTAGAGATTCATGCCAAAATTTCTTATCAAGGCTCTTGTAAAACAAGAAACACTTTATCTTCAGTCCCCCTGCCCCTTCCCTCTCTCCCCCCTTCCTAAGGGGTTACTAAACACTCTTGCCTAAGGCAACCAACAGTCTAAATTTCACAGCCCCAAAAGAAGACAGGTTAATCCATCTCAAATCCATTGAAATTAAAAAAATAGACGTCCAGCCACATTTCTTTGAAAAGGGGATTAAGACTAGAACCTCAGAAAGAACAATACCATGCAAAGAAGATGAACCAGAATGCCAAGAGCGTTTCAGTCTGAAGGGAAACAGAGATGGATACATTGGAAAAGTTGTTAAAGGCTCAATCTCCCACAATGATACCCTTGGCTGCCTCTCACCTGCCGTTGACTCATCCCAGCCAACCTACACATAGGAGCAGGCAAGATATCAAACTTCAGTCAATTAAAATTAGCAAAAAATTTCTGCATTGTGATCCCTTGCGTAATTAAAACAAATTCACTGTCAAACAGAAGACACATGTAAATTGCCATGCATTCTAATGGGACTTAAAGTAACTCTAATGCAGGTCGGTGAACCTTAAGTTCTGCATTTTGCAAAGGTATTCTCTTTTGAAAACTCACAGGACAGATATGTACGAAGAATCATAAACCTAGGAAAGCAATTTTGAGCATATAATTGAAATTGTTAGAAACATGGTACACATAGATAAAACAGATGCAGAGGCAAATAAAAAATGCCTGTGTTATGCTATCTGAGCCATTGATGACACAGAAAACACAACACAAAACATGCTAACAACAAAAACCCAAAGCCCCTTTGGACCCTAATTTTGAGGCCACTGTAGAATAAAGCGCTTCTCTCAAATTGTTCCTAATGAGATACTGCAAACATTAATAATGCATAAATGATACTGAACCTACAAGATTCACACGCTACCAACAAAATCATAACACAAAACAATGCCTTTGGACCCTAATTTTGAGGCCACAGCAGAAGAAGTGCTCTCGCAAATCATTCTCAATGAGATGCTGCAAACATTAATAATGTGTATTTCTAAATTAACTAGCAATAACCACCTTGCTAGAAGCACAAACTGAGAGCACAACATTGGTTTTGTTTTTAGTTCAAAGAAACCAAAATTGCCAGCCAAAAATAGAAACTTTAAAGTGAAAACAAATTCTCAGCTTTGAAGTCCGTGAAACAGCAGAGTAAGAAACAACAGAATAGAAATTTTCAATAGATTGAACACATTGCTAGACACTTTGAACTATTTTGACAGTTATCAGCCGATAGGATCCCCTTTTGTAAACAAAAGTATAAAGACAATATTTGTAAACAATATCCAAACAAAAAAAAAAACCCAAGTCCTAATTCAACATATAGGCCTGGATTAAAGATGCTACCATGTACCTAAAAGTTTTGGTTTAAAGTTGAATCAGGCAAAAACTAGTTGACATAAGACAATAAAACAGTAATCAAGTAAGAGATTGGAAAGATAAACTAAAAGTTTTTGGGGTGATAAGAGGTGAACAAAAACAAAGAGGAGGGATTATAATTGAGTTTGGACTTGAAACTGAACTGACAGAAAAATCAAGTTTTTGCAAGTTTGTAACCTCACCCCTTCTTTTCCATTTCTTTTATTTTCTTTTATTTTTAATCTTTTTTCTTTTAATAGAGAAACAAAGAAATGCCAGGTAACAAGAGGTTAACCAATTTAAGATGCTACTTTCACAAAAGAAAAAAATGAATAAAACCTAAGGTACAATTAACTTGAATAAATTGTTGGCCATTAAATAAAGACTATGGAGCGGATTAAATCAGACATCCAAGAACTTTCATAAGACTTCTCTTCTCTTTTAAAAGCACTTCTTTTACATACACAAATGAACAATAGAGAGAGAGAGAGAGATCAAATTTATCACTTTGGCATGTCTGGAACAATGTATCAAAAAAGAGACTCCAATTAGACAATCTCAACCCCATTAGCGGATAATAAACACAAATTTAGTCCATCCTCATTCACACCTCGCCAATTAACAAAATGATTTCCTTATTGTCAGACCTAGATATTTCTCATTAATTTACTATCAGATTTACCTCATGATAGCACCCAGATTATTCAAATTACCAACATCATCTTCTTTGCTTCCTTAAATTTGCATGACATGTTTAATAACTGAAAACAGTGAATCAAGTAGAATCCTTACCCTGAGACAAAAAGGACAAAGAAGAAAGGCTAAAAACCCTAGGTTGCCCTCAAGCTTCAACAAAAAAGTCAACATGCTTATATATATTTTAAATAAACATGCTTATAATTTTACTGCATTCAATGTGAACCAGAATTTCTATTTTTATGCAATCAGCTAACATTTCAACATAATTGTGCATGTGTAACTTACATACCATTAAACTTTATTAAGTTTTCTTAAGCGTTTGCAGACAGTTAGACAGATGATAAGGGTCTTTTTCCTCATTTTTCTCCATGCAACTCGTCCATTGCACATTGAAATGGGATTCCTTTCCCACTTGTTCTTCTCTCTTGTTTCTTTCTAGTTTATCTCCCTTATTTCTTCTTTTTCTTTCATAACTTTCATCAACACCATCAATAGAGTACCCCTTTGACTCACTGTTGGAAAATGAATATATGGAAAACTTTTTACTTCTCTTTCCCCTCCCTTGCCCTGTGCCACCCACTTTTGTTAAGAATCTTCAAAGTCACAAAGTTTATAAACCTTAGTAGTATCATCAGTACCAGTAAAGCACAATGGAATCTCCATTTTCAAGAATTTAACTAAAACAACAAATCATTTAGATAGGCCAATATAAAATCAACCACCTATTTTCTAATCATTTCACCCTTTGGTGAACCCATCCTATATACTTGAACATCTTACATGAACAGATTGCTGGTAAAATTGAGTGTATTGTTTAATTTTGGGGTGGATATGGCAGTTATTTGGCAATAAGTATTTGAGGGTTTTAACTTTTGCATAATTTCCATACTATTTTAGGGTATTGGAAACCATGGTATATTATAAATTAAGATGATTACCTTTTCCGCCAAACCATTGACCCAGCAACCTTTCGACATATCAACACCATTATTTTAACGGTGCCACTGGACAAACTTTGAACTCTGTAGTCAATTGGAATTATTGAACAGAAACTGGGGGTTTTTTTGCATATTGGATTCAATGAAAGTTCAATGAGAAAATTGGCTTCGTTTAAAAAGTTCAAGGGCAGCATGGAGTTTCTAGCCAAGAAGAAAAGAGAGCATAGGAAATCTCTCTTCCAACGTGGAAGAGTTGTGGAGTAACTGCATCCCATTCCATCCAGAAATCACCACCCAAAAGAAAAAGGAAGATACATAATTCTCTCCACATGAAAAAGTCCACAAAATCAATAAAATTCTCCTCTCCTATAACTAGTCGTGTGCATGGGCCAGGCCGATTCGACCAGTTGGCAACTCTAAATACCAAACCCAGGTCTCCGCCCAGGCCCACTCAATTAGGCCCGACTATATTTTAAAATATATTTTTATATCATTTTAATATTTTTAATATATTTTAGAGTAAAAATAAAATAAAAATAATTTTTATTAATAGAACATCTCTAGCCCATCCAAGGCTCAGCCCAACTCGGGCCTGGCAAGTCATCCAGCCAATGGATAGGTCTACTTGTAACAATGATTTTTACTTTGGGCCTTAGACATTGAAATATCAGGTTTACCCTGGAATTTGGGTTGAGAAGCAAAATAAAGACTACCTTCACCTGGATAAACAATAATGTGTTGAGGTTCACTCTTTGCAAGCAAGAAAAAAAAATATGGAAAGGATTATCTTAACTAAATCTTTCAAAAATGTGGATATTGCAAAAATAAAAATTATCATTTTACAACCAATGTTTAATCATAATGCCTATTCTGTATGTATGATGAAACAATCCTACAACTATACAAGCACATTATGATCACAAATGAATAGAAAATGATTTTAACTAGAATTGTCAAAAAACCTGGAAACCCATCCAAAACCGAATTGTCAAAAAAAAAAAAACATCAAAGATCCAAACTTGAAGAAACCCAAATCCAAAATGACCTGAACCTAACATAGCCTGCACCCAAAACAACCAAACTCGAAATAACTCAAACCCAAAATGACCCTAACCTAAAATCATGTTGAAATGGTTACATATTAAGTTACATAATATCTAAAATTGCCTGAAACTAACTTGAACCCGATGATATGATCAAAACTTGAAATTACCGAACCCGAACCCACCCGTATGCCACCTCTACTCATATTGGATAATCTGACTACCTCTAAACCTCAACAGAATAGATCTCCCAATCAAACCCCTTCCCTAGCCTCTCTTTTGTTCAAGATCTAAGTTCACATAACCAATCAACTAGCATTGAATCCCCGAGAAAGCACAGACATCAATCAAGAAATCATGGACATTAAACACAAATGAATTTTCACACATGCATAAATATAATGGGATATGACATTATGCCACCATAAACAATAAAAAAAAATGTGCCATGAACCACCTATTACGAGATTCATGTAAAATATACTAATAATTACCTTCACAGACCGCCAATGGGAATTTGGCCAGCGAACAGAATCCAAATCACTTATGCCAGTTATTGTACCCATATACCTGGAGAAGGAAAAAGAAAAGAAAAGAAAAGACATATACATATGAACAAATAAATGGTGCAACATAGCAAGAGTAGGTCTTTGGTGCCACACAATTTAGAGCTACACATTTAGGACTGCACTTTCAACAGCAAGCTGACAAAAATCAACTGGCATACAAAATCAAATAGTTTCCATTAAAAACAGTTTTTCAATAAAGTTAAGAGTACAATTTATATTCATGATTCCCTAATCAATGGCTGTCCGACTAGGGGATCCCTCCAACATTAAAAAAGCCCCACTTGAAGCTCCTGCTCTAGTACACAGACACAGCTTCCGCTTCATTAACTTTTTAAAATCATTCTTGTATTCCTTGTTAGAACTTCACTACAAAATTCCTATAATCACTTTTAATGTCCCCCCCCCCCCTACTTTTTTCCCTTCACTTATTTTCCCTTCTTAATTGTTTATTGTCTTTTCTCCCCATCATTTTTTTGTTTCTCCTCTTACCTCTTCTATTTTCTTTTTCTTCAAATCAACCTTTGGTTTCTTTTGATTTATCTAGTCTCATTTTCCTCTAAAGCCTCGAAACTATTTGAAAATAATTTTCCTTATCATCCATCAATCCACATCAATACAATATTCTATTAGATACTACATGTTTGTGTGATGGTGTATTTTACGCTGGCTACCATTAACCCTATCCTTGTCACTCCCTTTGTAATCAATCTTGTACTTTGTTCTCTTTTCTGCTAATATTTTCCTAAAATATATAGATTGTGCCAATATTTACTTGTACTAATAGTTATTTTATCTATAATTTAATTCATTGTTAAAAAGTTTCAGTATCTGCATAAAAGAGTTTTATGTAAAGAAGTTTAATTATCAAATTTTTATACCCAAACTATATCCTGCATTACCAAACAAAATTATTGAGTTCTCTCCCAATTAAAAAGAATGAATAAAAAAAGAAAGAAAGAGATTAGCTAGCTCTTCTTATCCAATCTCTTATCACTCTATTGCCAAACGCCTTGAAACTAAAATTCTGCTATGGAAAAAAAAAAAAAAAAAACTATTCCCATGCATAGAGCTGTCAAAGATGGACCGAACCCAAAAAACTCACTCAAACCTACCCAAACCAATTTGACCAAGAAAAGTTAACAACCTGAACCTGCACAACTCAAAATCCAAAATAACCCGAATCTGAAATGATCCAAACCTAAACCGCTCGAAAGACTAACCCAAAACTATATTGATTGGACTTTAAAACTTAATAATTTGGACTCGAAATGACTTGAACCCAATGATTCGAACCCAAATAAACCGAGTGTCAAACCCAAAATGACATAAAAACGAGACAAACCGAACCCGAAATGATCCAAATTTTCTTCAGCCCAAAATGACCTGACGCGAAATGACCCAACCCAAACCCAACTGGACCCACCCATTTGCCACCTTTATTTATGTATGTGCGTTTAAGATTTTGATATAATCCATTATTGGTTAAGATTTAAGTTTGCATGACTTATATGTAATATAACAGAAAAGTTTAAACCTTGTCCAGTTATACTCAATTTCTCATAATCTTTAAGTTCAAATAAATGTGGCATGGAAGAATAAAGCATGGTGCAACTGCCCAAGTTTTATCAACCATTACTAGTTCTAATAAAACTAATAAAATTCAAATGTTTTATGCAAAAAGAAAAAGTAAATAAAAATCTTCAAAAAATAAAACATGGATAGCACTTCTACATAATGAACTTTTTATCAAATATTTGAAATCAGACAGCATTAGTGACTAACATGGTGAAGTTCTGTTTCAAAAATACACAAGTTATTTGCCACCATATCAAAAAGTCAATACAACATTTTAATAAAATGTATAGACAGCCTTCGAGAACATGACTCAGATAAACAGAAGCAATTCATAGAATCACACAAGATAAACCACTAAAATAATACTAAATCAACCATTAAGAACTATAATACCTACGAACACTTGATTCTTCAGTCTCAAAAAGCATCCGAAAACGCATCCCAACTGAGACACGCATGTGGAAAACAGCCTTGATGTATTTTGAAAGGGGTATTACAAACTCAGATGGACTAGCCCTGCAGATTAGAAAATACAGCATGTTAACAGATAAGACATAAAGAACGAATGGAAGAGTTAAGAAATCATCACCACCTTGGATTATAAAATACTGTAAAGCAGCTATTAGTTGCTGCAGCATGAGCAGCAGCAGCAAGGAGTCCAATGTGCATGCTATCACTAGATAAAACAGATGATGGCATTACAGTTTGTGGGCGAGTGGCACGGCGAATTCCCAAAAGAAGCTGATTCTTTTCATTCCTAATGACAGGAATTGACAAGATATGGTCAAAAACGCATATTTACATGCTCTTCCCTCCCCTTAGCTTTCTCTCTAGTTAAGTAACCCCAATAAACCACATCTACCAGGCATTATTAAAAAATAATAATATACAATAACATATTTAGCAGCATAACTAGGTAAAAAGAAAATTAATACCAAATAAAAAGAACAGAATCCCCTGCAACAAGTCTCTTAGCACTAACAAACACACTCCAACCTGTAGTAAGAAGGTGACGTTTAGGCTGTCCTGCAAGTTGTGTGACATAACATCAAGTTAAATAGAAAATCAATAGTTGTACAATTAGATAGATTATTTTAGCATGCGACAAAAGACAATCTAATTTGTCATTAACATGGTTGTCTAAGCAGTTTGGAAAAAGGTGGTAAAACCACAGTTCCCTCAACTACAGGCACAAAAGAACCAGTAGAGAAAAATTAGTATCAAGTCAAAACTAAAGTAGTACCTCCAAGCATATAGAATATATAAGTCAATCAACTCGGAAGAAAATTTAGGATACATAAACTTCAGTTAATATGTTTTTGAGTCTTGAAGTTTATTTCGTGATTGTTTGTTCACAAGCCTCTTCCAATAAAAATTAGTTAAGGATTTTCATTATTAGAGTAAACTTTTACTCTGTTTTTTACACAATGAAAGTATTTTCTATCAATTCAAGATCATCAATGCTTGTTATTAGCATGAAATCCTAATATGTTGAAGCACTTGATGACATTTGTAGTCTGTTAGCATTTTAATTATATTATCACAGATCAGAATTCTACATTCATCTACATTTAAATTTGAGAGTTATTCATCCTGTAAAGAGCCATAACTAGGAAATGATCACACTGCTTTCAGCCCCAACCTTGCATTTTCTTCAGTTAAATGCCTCATCAAAACATGATTTTAATCTTCAGACTAACAAGAGGACCACATAAACTCTTCATTTCAAGCCATGAAAGTAATAAACATATATAAAAGAGCTTTGGTCAGCACCACTGGGTTGTTGAAAGTAATCCATTAAGTTTAAATTATGTATTTTATGAATCATTACTTCTCCGAATTACTATATATCCTTACATTGCTTTCAACCCAATAGAGAAAAGCCTCCTTTCCAATTTAGTAGATATATTGATAATGTGTTAATTTTGAGCATTCTAAAAAATCCTATGTTTGTATAAAATGTTGAATCAAGACACATTTAGAACTCAAAATTCAAAATACATTCTTGAAGTATGGTAAAACTATGACAAGAATTGAAACACTTTATATAGTACACAATCGAATATCTAGTAGGTTTGATAAATCCTCATAACAAAAAATCCTAACAATTTATACAAAGCTACGCAAATTACATAAATCTTTTCAAATCGTTGGACATAGTGCCGAAATTGTGATATCAAAAACTCATTTGTTTTATTCAGTTACTTATTCAATTGATATGCATTTTTTTAGCTATGGTTTTAGAAACTTCTTGGGTCTTGTAAAGAAGATAGCCAAAAACTATAATAAGGGTCTTGTAACTTGGACTAATGAGTCATTGACTTGTAATTGGTGGATTTCGTTGAGGTTATTAAAAAGAATTACATGCATCCAAATGACTAAGACGTTGAGGCTATTAAAATGAATCAAATGCATCCAAGTGACTAAGAAAGACAAAGGATCTTGAAGACTCTAGCTTCAAACTTAGAAATTCAGATTAGAACAAAACAAAAACTGATATGTTATTATCATCATGGACAAGACCTTGAAGGGTGATGTTGGGAATTTCAAAAGGATGAGTCAACTCAATATAGTGATTGTATATGCACCTCAAACAAATTGGATAAGTTAACTCAAGGTAAGTTTTGGGGAAGATTTACCTGATTGATCCAAAGGATCCTCCAAGAGGAAAAGATTTTCATTGAGGAGATTTCAATAGCCACGTCAAAAAAGAGGCCAAGGAAATCAAGGATCACTCGAACAGATCATGGTTTCCAAGAAACAAATAGTCATGGAAAGGCTGTAATGTTATGACATTATTCATGATAGCTAACACTAGTTATAGAAATGGGATTACTAATAAGCTACCTAATAAGCTCAATTCGATGTACACTAGAGTTGGATTCGTTCACTGTCTGACCGAACTTGCGTTTAAGCCACTCAGTAACAAGTCAAGCAGACTTCAAGCTTTGTAATGCCCAACAAAGCTATTGACTCGTGAGTCTTATCAAACTTTTGAATTTCTTTTTTTTGTTTTTAATATTTTACACATAAATTTCAAGCTGCTTGTGCAAATTGGTGATAATTGAGCCAACCAGAGTCAAGGTCAAGTTGCTTGAATTTTTAACAAACCAAGTTCGAGCACAAAAAATAAAGCTCAATCTAATTCAAGCCTAAAACTGTATAAGCTTGGGTTGACTCAGCTTAATTACAACTCTAAGTCAAACTATGCAAGGAGAGAAGAAAATTGAGAGATTTGAATGGTGCAAACTTGTGACTTATAAGAATAAGTGGCTTAAACAAGGTTGGTGAAAGTGACCGAGAAAGCAAATTCTGTAAGATGATTTGGATAATCACATTCAAAAAGTGGCTCAAAAAACTTTGAAAAAATCAAATGAGGGTGTCCCACCTACATAACAAATCTCGGTGGTAAAAAGGAACAAGAAAAGATCAAAACTAAAATATTTGTTAGAAAAGCTTAGCAAACATGAGAGAAACCATAGCAAAGTACAAAACAAAAAAGAAAATGGTTATGAAGACTGATAGAGAAATAAAGATTTCGACTTAGGATGATTTTTGTAAGTAGTTGAATTCCAAAGTAAGAGACATACAAACTGGCCAAATCAAGAGAATCGAGGACAATGAATTTAAAGCAATTAAAGTGTATAAGCAGGATAGCAAGGCTACTAAGGACATTTTAAGTTTTGAAGAAACAAAGAGGGGTTACTTTGCTCAAAATGAATCTTGGTGGTAGACAAAGGAACTACAAAATAAATTTGGAGTAAAAAAAAAGCTTTTCATAAAGCATTGTAGAGAAAATCTAGCAATGTGCAAAGCAACAAAGAAAGGTCAAGAAGGTGGTCACAGTAAGTGAAGCATACGCTTTGTCAGGTGCAGATTTTTATCGGCAACCGGTTACCAAAGACATACAAACTTGCCAAAATGAGAGAATAGAGAATAAAAACTTTAAACCAAGTGTACAAGGGAGGATAGAGAGTATATGTTTGTTCTTGAGAAGGCTATGAAGGACAAAAGAAGAAGTTATTTTTAGGATTTATTTAAGGAAAACTCAAATACAATTTGAAAGAAAAGAGAAATTATGATTCTAACAGCAAATTTAGAAAACAGAAATGGACAGGCTAACACTTATGAAAAGACAAAAAAGAAAAAAAATAGAGAAATGGACACTCTAGAAATGATGAAAAGTGAAAACCAATTGGTCAGGATGATGACCCCATTGAAGCATGAAAGTGCACAAGGACAAAGGACTATCTTATCACATAAACTTATTTGGTAAGATTCTAACCAAAAAAAAGTCCATTTAGGAGAAATAGCACTTTAATGCCGATATAAAGAACAAAGGACACAGAAAATTCGGTTAATTTAAAAAGGTACCAAGTTGATAAGTTATATGATGAAACTATGAGAATGGGTGATTAAGAAATGAGACAGTATTTCAAAGTATCCATTTGATTTCACAGGCAGGAGCTAATCCAGGAAAGCTATTTATGTTTTCAAGAATTTCATACACTTTTCTAGGGCAAAAAAAAAATACCCCTAGAAACTACACTGAATATTCAAACCAAGAGTGTATGAGCCCTAACATGAATCATGAATGTTTTACTTCCATATATAAACAAAAGGAACCGATATGGATTATTGATTAAAGGACACAGTAAGTGAAAAGCGAAGAATAAAAATTAGTATTCAAGGCAAAAAAAAAAAAAGGCCTAGGTTTAAGTAACTTATTCAAACACTATGATCAAGAAAGTAAAATAGCAGCAAGTCCACCATATCACTATGACTTTTGCCAAATGCAGCCAACTAATTCTTCTCTAGTGGAAATTTAAGTTTAGAGAGCAGAGACACATAACCTCAAATTAAGATAGCATTGCAAACTCCAATAACTTAAAAATGCAAAGAACCTAGAAATTATTACAACCTATGAGAATGCTTGATAGAAGTTAAAACTAACCTCTAAAAATATGTCTAAATTTCCATTCAACATCATGGAGATCCCTCGCAATAAGTTCCTGAGCTGGTGGCTGCTGCGAAAAGTCCTGACAAAGAAATAAGGAACGCATCAGCACTCAGAAACCAGTTGGAAGCTAGAGATATAAAAAAGAGAGTACCAGTGGAGGAAAGACTTTCTCAGCAGCACGACGAGGAACAGAAAAACCACCATGAGTACTAGTATCACTTGCTGTCAAGGTCTTGCAGAAATAATTGGTTGGCTGCTTGCTTGGAATTCCCAACTCCATGGGAAGAAATGTATCCTTCTGCTCTTCCTTTATCAAAATATAGATGAGGAAAACATCATAAATAAAACCCAAAAAGTATATTGGACTGAAGAAGAAAGCAATGCTTCTTACTGGTGTCAAAGGCTGCAATGTCATTTGGGCATATACTTCATCTGTCTCAACATCAGCCTGAAATAAAAAATGCATAAACTGTTTTAACTCTTGAGGGATTCTATGATTGAAAAATGAAGAGAAGAGGAGGGAACCGACATGCATGGTAACATTGTGGAGCTGGCATATCAACTGAGGAGGCAAGTTGGGGTAATTTGGAATGTGGGCATCAACTTCCTTGTTAGTGGTGGCTGCTACCTGCAAGTTGATTTCATTTTCATAGTATTTGGAAGTCAGAAAGCCCAGAAAGAGAAGAGAGAGATTTTGTTAAGACAGAAGAAGAAGAAGAAACCTGCTCGCTATGACCCTGAGGAAAGTAGACCAGACGGCTCCCCGCGGTGGGTAGGCACACCAGTGGGCCAGCACAGGCGTGCCATAGCTCCGAGTTCAAGCACTTGTTTTCCCCTAATAATCTTTCATCATTAACTATAATTGTAATGAGATGAAACCAAACTTACATGCAAATGTATCGAGATTTAACTATATGAATAACGACACTTCATGTTTTAATTTTTTCAACAAAGTAATAATGATAATAATAAAAATAAAATAAAAGATACCTTCATGAGCCTGCTGACCCAGGCCTGATGCTGAATGCTTCATATCAAACTTAATTTTTGTTCGAAAGAAGGGAAGAGAAAAAGGGAATTGAAGCGTTATTCTATATTATTAAATCCAACAGAAACACCAAACCTCACTCATTATGCAATTATTGCACGCGAAATGAAAACCCTAAAACTAGAAAAAAAAAAAAAAAGAGAGAAAGAAAACCCAACCCTCACGCATAATGCAATTTTAGATTTATAGGTTGAAAAAGACGAAAAGGAGATGACATAGTTTCGTCTTCTTCTCCCAGAACAGCGCCATTGGCGTTGGGTGTTGGTATCACGCAGCAAAAGAAAGAGAGTGAAAAGAAAAGAAGAGTGCGAGATGCGAAGATGAGTGGTTTTATAGGGGGGCCGACCAAAGCTAAAGCTGGAGCTGAAGAAGAAAGTAGAAAGACAAGTTGAAAGAGAGGCAATCTCGGCCGTTGGCTCATCCGTACGGAGGCATCCTCAGCGTCCATTGCAGGTTTGATTTGACAACAGGCGTGTGCCACCATCCTCAGTAGTCGCTGTCACAAGTACGGGTTGTGTCCATTACAGATTATATTATTATACTAGTAGGTAGATTCGGGGCGTTACTGCAGTTAGGTATTTAATATTTTTCATAATTAAATTTTTACAAATTTTAATAAAGATAAACAATGCATAATTGATGATAAGATAAAAATTTATACACTTTTCTTTTTATAATACAGTAAGTATGTTTTGATATGTTCTCGTGCGAGTTTGTAAATGTGTATAAAGCACAATAATCTTTTTTTGAATTGGAAATGAAAGTACTCTTTCATTCATGCATTGGATGGGTGCTTCATTTTGTTGCAATGAAGGGAAAAAAAATATTTAGTATAATTTTGAAATTTTGGATGGTAAGAAATATGTAATGGTATTCTGCTTCTAATATATTATGAATTAAAAATTTTTGAGTACGTAAAAGTCTCTTAATATCTGTTTGAAAAAAGTATATTGTAAAATAAATATTCGTTTGATATTTGTTGTGCAAATTTTTTGTGGTAAACAAATATAATCTTTTTTTTTCCTTTGTGGGGGATTTTCGTCAAATAAACTTTCAAGGAAAGTAGTTTTATGCAGTTGATTTAGGCAATTTTCAAAGAGGACTTCTTTGTCTTTATCTCTTTCTGTATTTTTTTGGGAGACAACATTAACAAGGTGAATTTGGTTAGAATCTCATATGGAAAAGAATAATTATTTTTTGAAGTTTAAAGTGTTTTATAATGAAGTTAAATGTTCTTGAGATCGTGTACTTCTAGAATATTTAGTTTTACAATCATTTGTGAAGCTGAGCATGTACCAATTGAAAAGTAGTCATAATTTATATATGGTATTTGTCTAAAAAAAGTTATATTTCTAATGGGTTCAAGGAAGTATACAATATAGATGTTTAAAATTACTAAAGTTTAGTTGTGTTATGTGATTGTCAATTATAAAACTTTTTCATGGATGCAAAGATGATAATTGGGCTTTCTTTGTTCTTATGAACTGATCTTCATCTAATTATTGTGCAAATTCTCCCCAAAATGTCAATCTTATCATATCATCCCCGTAAAGTTGATTTAATTGCAAGTTTAATTGTAGTTTCATTGTTGTATTTAATAAAAATGTTTGTTAGAATACATACTCTTAGATCTTGATTTCAAGATAATTTTTCACTTATGATCTTTCTCCATCAAAGGCCCTTTTTTACCCATACTGATCAAGATTCCAATGACATTTGCAAACAAAAGGTTAAATGTAGTAAAAATGTAATAATTGCAAAGATTTTATAAGTTTCAAAGATGACAATGCATTACCTCACAATATTTTATGTTTTTTTATTCTGTTTTCACTTTCCTTATAGCATACTTCTCATAATAGCGCCTTGTGGTGCTAATGTTTCGGTGCCTCATTACTTCTTCTTAGGACCTTCAATCAAGATTTGCCTTGCAACCCGATTCTCAGCCCTTGAATAGGTGTTGCAAATCTTAATGTATGGAAGACTAATTGCGACTATATTGAGGAGTAAGGAAAAGTTTTTCATAACAACACTAAATCACCGTATCAATCAACAGAAAACCTTAATTTAAAATTTCAACAGACATAAAATATAAATAACCATGTAAACTATTAAGAAAGGAGGTAGATTAAAACCTCAAATAGAACAAAAAACAAAATAATAAATAAAACCTAAAATAGAAATGAAAGTGTTGGATTAATAATTAGATTATCATTAATCAATTTGTTTATACGCAAGAAAGTGACCATCTATAAGGTATGTCCCACAAATACAAAATAAGAGATGTTTACCTTACGGTTTTGAGAGGAATATATAGGCTAAATAGGCTAAATCATTGGAAGTTGCCTAAATAAAGAAAAAGTAAAGACAGATGAACAAAGAACCTATCAAAACTCAATTGCAAGGCAATTGGGAAAAATATTTATACCATTTTGAAATGTTTTAATTTATAAAGAACCTAAAGTCTTTGAATAGTGTTAAATTTTTTTTCTATCAAGGACTTACCATATTGATAAAATTAAAAAAAAAAAGTTCAGATGTGTTTAATTTACAGTAACAATAGAAATGTTCGATTGAAATTGTTGAATGTGTCCTGCATTAATGTAGAACAAACAAAATGCATAATAATGTTAGAACAATAGATTGGAAAGCAGCAAATCTACACACATTTATTGTCTTTTTCATTTGGTTTTCATTTTTCCCAATCCCTTACTTGAACTAAGTTATGGATAATTGTTGACAATGGGAAGTGAAATATGATTCAGAAAAGTGTTTTTGTGTAACTCATACTACAGTTAGATATTACCTTGCAATTCATTGTGAAAATTGATGAAATGGTAAACTATGGATGAATGCAATATCGGGTTCTATTGGAATTGGCTGTCAACCAATTGTCACCCTGCAATTTCACAACCAAAGAACATCAAAAATTACAACGCCTTATATAAGTAATATACAGTCATCAACATCGAACAAAGTCTAAGAATCAGTGAAACCGTTCAAACATTTAATAAATAAGCATTCTTCTCATAGCGATTGTCTTTCCTATTATGATAAAAATAGAAAGTAAAAAGTTATAGCAAACAATTAATATTTTTCATTTTGATAGTATAAACAATTTGACTTAAACAAATAATTAACCAATTTTTTTTTAAAAAAGTTTATTATGGGTATGTTATCGAAACATTAAAATTTGTTGAAATGTTGGGTATTTACCTTAGATTGGAAGTGCCTAGTTCAGTTTTTTTGTGTAAAAACAAAAATTTTTGTATGCAATTATTGTTAGATTTTGTCGAAACCCCACTGGGTCACTAACATTATTTTAAACTGAAATTAAAATTTACTTGGATGCAGACAAGAGCTTAATCTTGCTTAACCATGGCCCATGAAAGTAATGCCGCCATCACAAGCCCTCCACTGCCACCTTTTGAGCTTCGAATGGTCACTTGCAAAGGAGAAGAGAAAAAACTACTCTTTGCCTCCAAAAACTGAAGTTATGAAACTTAATGGGCCGACCTCATATATATATATATATATATAGAGAGAGAGAGAGAGAGGTGAGAGTAGGGATTTACCTTAACATGTTAGTTAAATTTGACTTATTTCATTCTACTTTTAAATACAAAATTAAATCGAGATCATACTTAACGATAATCATATTACTAATTTAGGTATATTACAATATGGTACCATAATAATTACTCATTAATTGACATTGATTAATATAATTTAGTATATAATGATTTTGTTAATCCACCAATATGAGATAAATACAAGAATTATTCAAAATAGTTTTAGCTATCTAGAAGATAGGTTAAAGATAAAATTATTCTATAAACAAAATGAAGCATAAAGAAAAAAGAGATTGTGAGACACTTGTTTTGTCGGGGATAATTTAAACTTAGGAAATGAAAAATCCTTGATTTTTATTTAAAAACAAAACAACAACAACAAATCAACAGTGGAATTATTAGATGAAGAAACCAAAGAGGCTTAAACATTTTGAGATTAATCAAAAAGAAGCTTTCCCCCTAGTTTTTCGATTGAAATTTGACCCAAGTTGCCTACAAAAAAAAAAAACTAAAGACCAAAATTCGAAAAAAATCAAATTTGAAAAAAATCTAACCCCAAAAAAACCAGACACCGACACAACTCGAACCCATCATGACTCAAATTTGAAATGAGTAGAACTAGAGATTGATTTGATCTGAAACACATAAAGAATCGAATTATAACCCCCAAAAAAAACCCAAACTATAATTATATGACTTTTTTTATACAAAAATAAAAATAAATGATAAACATTTTTCTTAACTAAAAATTTTAAAATATTATTAATTATAATTATTAAATTAATATTTCAATAATTTATCATCAACAAAACTATATTGAATATTTAAATTCGATTATGAAATAAATTTAATTTTGAAACACACCATATATGAATATTAAATGATTTTTAGCACTATCCTTATTGTATTTACAATAATTATCAATAAAAAAAAAAATTGTTAATTTAAAATTTAATTTCCTTATAAAAAAATCATTTACAAAATATTATTGATTTATTATATTTATTTCAAATTTTAATATAACAATAATTCAAATATAAAAAATTATATATTATAATTTTAACATTTGATTGCATTTGATGTTTTAAGGAAAATATTGAAACCATTATTTACATAAATTAACTTTAGAATATATTTTTCTTAGTGTTTCAAACATATTAAAATATTAAATTTACTTGAAAATAAAAAAAATAAAATATTATTTTATAAATTCAAACATATTGTTTTTAAAATTGAAATATGAAAGACAAAAAAAGTTGAATAATGGTTTGTGTGAAAGTTGAAAGTTAGGATATGATATTGGTTTTGGGAATTTTTTTTTGGAGGGGATTGTGAAATTAGGTTTTTTTATTTGGAGGTTATTATGAAATTGAGAATTCTACCACTTTTATTTTTTGTTAATTTTTGTCACAATTATTTTTAATTTTAATATTTGATGAAAAAAAATTTAATTTAATTTGATATCTAATTGATTTTTTTAGCTCAAGTGTAGATAACAATTTAAGAGGATATGAATTAGATTGTCTACAAATTCTTTCTCAAAGATAAATTTTCAAATAAATGTAAATAAAAAATTGAAAATATGAGAAAATTATGAAATTAAAACACAAATAAACAACAATGAAAATAAAAGAATAAGAGAAGAGAGATCACATACAAGAATTTATAAAGGTTTGGTCTTTCTCCAAAAACACCTATGTCTTCTCCTTTAGCTTTCATAGCCAACCTTCAAATCCACTGAAAAATGTTCTTATACAAATTACAATATCTATCTTATAAAGGTCAAGATAGCAACTTCTATCCATTTTTAGGATTTTATCCAATCCTCATTACAAAAGTTCTCAAGAGGATACCTTACCTCTTGTTTACTAATCCCTTTTAATTGACAAAATATTTTGCAAACCAAATGAAACCTCTAATAGGTGGGTGTTCGCTAGGTTTAAGCATAAAAA